TCCAAGATTATCTTCTGTGTCTGTGTTAATTGGTTTCCCTTTTCTTTGTTGAAGAGGGTCTGTGCAATCCTTCTGCCTAGTCCGCCATCTTGCCCCTATTTTCATTTTTTTAAGGAAACTCCATACCATTTGCCACAATGGCTGTACCATTTTACAGTCCCACCAGCAGTGCACAAGAGTTCCAATCCCTCTGCAACCTCACCAGCATTTGTTATTTTCTATCCTGTTGAACTTTGCTATCATTGCTGGGGTGAGATGATATCTCATTATTGTTTTGATTTGCATCTCTCTAGTGATTAAAGAGGAGCTCTGGTAGCATAGTGCCTAAGGCACTTGACTTGCTAATCAGAAGGCTGGTGGTTCAAACCCATCAGCCACTCCTCGGAAGGAAGATGGGGCAATCTACTTCCATAGTGATACTGCCTCGGAAACTCAAGGAAGGGTCGCTATGAGTCAGATCTGACTCAAGGGCACATAACAACAACAACCATGGTTAAAGATCGTTAGCAATTCCTCATGTGTTTGTTGGCCACCAGCATTATCATCTTTAGTGAATTGTCTGTTCAAGTCTTTTGCCCATTTTTGAATTTGGTTGTTTGTCTTTTTGGTGTTGAGGTGTTGGAGTTTTGTATAGATTTTGGAGATAAGTCCTTTGCCAGATACGTCATAGGCAAATATTTTCTCCTAATCTGTAGGTTCTCTTTTTTTCCCATTTTGACGAAGTCTTTCACTGCGCATAAGAATTTAATTTTTAAAAGTTCCCAGTCATATATCATCTCTTCTACCTCCTGTACATTCTGGGTTATGTTTGATAGTCTATTTATGCCATAAATCAGGGCTCTTAGATTTGCCCCTATTTTATCTTTGATTAATCTTATAGTTTTGAGTTTTACATTTAAGTCTTTGATCCATCTTGAGTTTGTTTTTGTGTATGGGGTGAGGTATGGGTCTTGTTTCATTTTTCTGCAAGTGGATATCCAGTTTTGCCAGCACCATTTGTTTAAGAGGCTGTCTCTTACCCATTTAATGGATTTTGGACCTTTGTCAAAGATCAGCTGCCAATAGATGGATGGGTCTATTTCTGGAGTTTTGATTCTGTTCCACTGGTCTATTTGTCTAGCATTGTACCAATACCATGCTGTTTTGACTATGTGGGTGTATAGTAGGTTTTAAGATCTGGGGGTGTGAGACCTCCCACTTTGTTCTTCTTGAGAAGTGCTCTGCTTATCTGAGGTCTCTTTCCTTTCCATATGAAGTTAATAATTGTTTTGTCCATGTCCTAAAAAAATTTTGTTGGTATCTGGATCGGGATTGCATTAAATGTGTAGATTGCTTTAGGTAGTATTGACATTTTCACAATATTCAGTCTTCCTATCCATGAACAAGGCAGGTTCTTTGATTTATGTAGAGCCCTTGTTGTCTCTTGTAGTAGTGTTTTATGGCTTTCTTTGTATAGGTCTTTTGTGTCTCTGGTGAGGTTTATTCCTAGATATTTTCTTTTTAGTAGCTATTGTAAATGCTATTGTTTCTCTTATTTCTTTATCAGAGGACTCTGTTGGTGTAGAGGAATCCAACTGAGTTTTGTATGTTGACCTTGTATCCCACCACTTTGCTGAACCTTTCTATTAGTTCCAGTAGTTTTTTTGCTGAGTCTGTTGGGTTTTCTATGTACAGGATCACATCATCTGCAAATATCGAGATAATTTTACTTCCTCTTTGCCAATTTGTATGCCTTTTATTTCTCTTTCTGGCCTTATTGTCCTGGCCAGGACTTCTAATACAATGTTAAATAGAAGTGGTGATAGAGGGCATCCCTGTCTGGTTCCTGTTTGTAAGGGGAATGTCTTGAGTCTTTGTCCATTAATAATGATGTTGGCTGTTGGCTTTTGGCTTTGCATATATGCCTTTTATTATGTTGAGGAGTTTCCCTTCTATCCCAATTTTGCTGAGAGTTCTGAACAGGAACGAGTGTTGTATTTTATCAAATGCCTTTTCTGCATCAATTGATATAATCATATGATTCTTTTGTTTTGTTTATGTGGTGGATTACATTGATTGTTTTTCTTATGTTGAACCATCCTTGCATACCAGATACGAATCCTACTTGGTCAGGATATATTATTTTTTTGATATGTTTTTGGATTCTGTTGGTAGGATTTTGTTGAATCTATGTTCATGAGGGATATTGGTCTGTAGTTTTCCTTTTTAGTGATGTCTTTCCCTGGTTTTGGTATTACTGTTATGCTAGCTTCATAAAATGAGTTTGGGAGTATTTCATCTTTTTCTATGTTCTGCGATAGCTTGAGTAGTATAGGTGTCAACTCTTCTCTGAATATTTGGTAAAATTCTTCAGTGAAGCCATCAGGGCCAGGACTTTTCTTTGTGGGAGTTTTTTTTTTTTTTTTTTTTAATGACTTATTCAATTTCTTCTTTTGTTATAGGTCTGTTCAAATATCCTGTCTCTGAGTAGCATAGTTTAGGTAGGTCTGGTGATTCCAGAAACTTGTCCATCTCTTCTAGGTTCTCAAATCTGTCGGTGTACAGTTTTTTGTAATATTCTATAAGTATCTTTTTTATTTCAGTTGATTCTGTTGTGATGACACCCTTTTTGCTTACTGTTCTTTTAATTTGCATTTTCTCTTTCTTTTCTTTTGTTAAATTTGCCAGTGGTTTGTTGATTTTGTTAATCTTTTCGAAGAACCAGCTTTTTGTTTTGTTGATTTTCTCTGTTTTTTTGTTTTCTGTTTCATTTATTTCTGCTCTGATCTTTATAATTTCCTTAATTCTAAATACTGTAGCATTCTTTTGTTGTTCTTTTTCTAGTTGTTGGAGTTGTTGAGTTAAAGTGTTGATTTTATTTCTTTCCTCTTTTTTGATGTATGCATTTATTGCTATAAACTGACATCTGAGTACTGCTTTTGCTGTGTCCCATAGGTTTTGGTATGATGTATCGTCATTCTCATTTATTTCTAGGAATTTTTTAATTTCACTAGTAGTTTGTGAGCAGTGAATTGTTTAACTTCCACATGTTTTTTCCTTTATCTTCCTATTACTAATTTCTAGTTTTATAGCATTGTAGTCCAAGAAGATGCTTTGTAGTATTTCAAAATTTTGAATTTATTGAGGCTTGTTGTATGTCCTAACATATGATCTATTCTGGAGAATGATCCATGTGCACTAGAGAAGAATGTGAATTGTGCTTTTGTTGGGTGGAATACTCTGTCTATGTCTATGAGGTCTATGAGGTTGAGTTGGTTGATTGTGTTGATGAATTCTTCTTTATCTTTGTTGAGTTTTTTTCTAGTTGATCTGTCCCTCCTTGAAAGTGCTGTGTTAAAGTCTCCTACTACTGTTGTAGAGTTGTCTATTGTTCCTTTTAATTCAATTAATATTTGCTTCATGTATTTTGGAGCACTTTCATTGGGTACATAAGTATTTATTATCTCTGGTAGCGTAGTGCCTAAGGCAAGGACTGCTAACCAGAAGGCTGGCGGTTCAAACCCACCAGCCACTCCTTGGAAGGAAGGTGGGTCTACTTCTTTAGTGATACTGCCTCGGAAACCCAAGGAGGGGTCGCTATGAGTCGGGTCCAACTTGACGGCACATAACAACAACAACAACAATGTCTTTTTTGTCAAGTGACCATTCAGCATCATATAATGTCTTTCTTTGTCTCTTATGTTGTTTTTCAGCTTAAAATCTATTTTATCAGAAATTAACATTGCCACTCTTGCTCTTTTTTGGTTACCTTTGCCTTGGTATATATTTTTTGCCACTCCTTAACTCTTAATTTGTTTTTATCTTTGTGTCTAAGATGGATCTCTTATAGGCAGCATATTGATGGGTCTTCTTTCCTTATCCAGTGTGGCATGACATTATCAACAAATTTCTGAGTTTCCACTTTCTGAAAAGGCTGAGGTGGCGCAGTGCCTAAGAAATTTGACTTCTAGCCAGGTTGGCAGTTCAAACCCACCAACTGCTCTGTGAAAGGAAGATAGGGCAATCTACTTCCATAAAGATTTATCACCTTGGAAACTCATAGGGTCTCTGTGAGTCAGAATTGACTCGATGGCAGTGGGTATTGGTTTGGTTTATAGGCTTGAGAGCACTAGATTGCCTTGAAGTCCATGTCATCTGGTTAGGTGTCCCTCCATGGGATGTACTGCTCATGTGGTTAAAGAATAGAGTCCACTTGGCACTGTATTCAGAGATGCTGCCTTAATCACAAAGACAGAAACTGCTAGAAGTTCCCTTCTGTGCTATTTTGTTTGTCACCGGGGTGGTGTGGGGACAGCGCAGATAGATTTATACCAAAAAACCAAACTCACTGCCATCGAGTTGATTCTGACTCATAGCAACCCCCTTTGGGTTTCTGAAGTAGATTGCCCAGTCTTCCTTCTGAGGAGTGGCTGGTGGGTTTGAACTGCCAATCTTCTGGTTAGCAGTCAAATACCTTAGACACTATGCCAGCAGAGCTCCTTAGATTTACACAGTGAGAGCAAAGTCACGCTCCGGGGAAAGGTCCACTCACTGACCATGTCGTGGTCTTTTTCTTCCCACAGCTATACAAGAAGAGACACAAGCAGCGGAAAGAAGCCCAGAGAGGGCGGCATGTGATGTTCCTGCCGTCGGCAGCCCACCCCATTCCGTTCTACCCCAGCCCCTTCTACCCTGGCCCCTTCCCTGCTAACCCTCTCTACCCCCCAGGAATTATTGGTGGTGAATATGATGTAAGACCAATACTTCCCTTTGTTGGGGACCCAATCAACTCACTCATCCCAGGGCCTGGGGAGACTCCTGGCCAGTTCCCTCCCCTCAGACCACGTTTTGATCCAGTTGGCCCACTTCCAGGACCTAACCCCATTTTGCCAGGGCGAGGGGGTCCCGGCGACCGGTTTCCCCTCAGACCCAGCAGGGGTCGCCCCACTGACAACCGGCTGCCATTCATGTGATCGATTTGTGATCTCGCTCCTGAGTTCGTTTTGTTTTCTCAACGTCAGATGTCCTCTCCTGGGGTGCTCCTCCCTGATTTATTTTCTGACCCTCACTGTGGTGGCGAGACATACATTCACAGCTGCCTTTCAGCACATGTGTTAGAGCCCCGGGCCCCAGGGCTGCTGCCTGATGAGGCAGGTCCTGGGAATAGCTGACTTCTGATTCCTTCCCTCGGGATCCCCCTTTAGAACGAAGGTTGTGAATTGGTGGTGTTTTGCATCAGATTAAAAAAATGACGTGTAAATAACATGGCAGCCCTGACTGTTATTAGAAAGATATGTAATCAGTACTCCAGATAGCTTCATGTGTGACTTGGACATCATCAGAGTATGATGACTTGGACATCATCAGAGAACCTGCCTATTCATTGCTTACTATAGGGGGTTCCCTTTCTATTTTTTAAATGGCACCCTTTCTTCAAATGCAATCCTTTGCAGAAGCCTACTTTAGGAAACAAATCAAAGCAGAGCTAGTCTGGTTGGACTGGGCCTTGGGGTGGGTTCTGGAACCCCACCAGCCAGTTCTCTCCAGGTGTGGGAGCACCCTGGCGCCTGGGCAGCAGTGCTGTTTGTACACCATTAGGTTACAGCGACTCACATTTCTGGCCCATTCTCAGGTGGGTGGTTATGAATGATTTTTTTTCCCTTGTGTTTTGAACACATGGTCCCTGATTTATAATGTAAACAGATGACATCTTTTAACAACAGAATTTCACTGCTCAGAGGGCTTGGTCTTTAATGGTAGCTTATTTAAAGAACACTTTGCTTTTAAGACTTGAAATAGACAAAATTCAAGATTTATTTTTCTGACAAGGCTAAACACAGTTTATCATACAAACAGTTGTACAGAAACATGCTTTAGTGATAGGAATTAAAATCTGAATCACAACACAGGAATAAAACACTTATTATTATATGCAGAAAATATGTAGGAATATTGCCAATATCTTCTTGCTTTTTAAAAAACCTGTTTTGCATATAAGGAAATGGCTTGGGGTGTTATATGCTGCAAGAATACTTTGAGTCCTATATATAAGTGAAAATATTATTTTTTTCTACACATACTTATTGAGTCTTTTTTCCATCACAGTGAAGAAAACTCAGTAATAGGATTTTCCAGAGGCGGTGTCATTTGAATAGCTTAATGGATAGGGGAAGGACTGGGCTGCTGACATTTCTATATATGAGCTACTAGACAGTCTTAAAACAAGTCCCGTTTACAGCCATATGGCTTTAATTGGATCTGGGTTTAAAAAGATTCCCTTGAAGCTTTCATGGGTTCGTCAAAACTATGTTCTAATTCTCTGCTACATTTCTCTGTGACCTGGTGATGTTAAGTTGCACTGTGTGTGTATATGTTTGCAGTGGGAATGGGAGGATGTAGTGATGACCAGAAGCACCACATACGGTAAAAACAATGAATTTTCAAAGTGCAGTCATTTTCAAATGGTTCTTGAGAGGTCCATGGATGGTGCTGGTGTCCTTGGGTACAGGTGCTACTTTTCTAACTTTATTTTGGACTTACTGGCAGACATTACAAAACTCTCTTAGTTTACAATACAGGCATTGTGCCCTAAACTTAAATCTGCAGGCTTCTCAAAATAGTTCATTACCATAAATTCTTGACAAAATGAAGCCCCTCAGAGCTTTTCCTTCTGAAGAGCTACACTGATGGTTAGAAGCTCGTAAAGCCCTCCGTTGTGTTCGTTAGTCCGAGACTGCTGAGCTTTGTGTATTGCTGGTGTAGTGAGAGTGAAGCCATGATGTGGTTGGGGCCCGTGTGCTGCATGGTCTTCTTACCTCATCTTGGATTATAATGGAAGCAGGATGGTCATAGAACGCCATAACAAGTGCGACATCATTGGCTTGTAACCTTAAGGACTTCCAGTCACCTCTTCTTTTCCCCTTTAGTTATTTTTAGTAGCAGGAACTTGTTCTCTTCTCCCCTTTTAGTTTTTCCTATTTATAAGGGAAAGTTACTCATTTGGCAGGACTGGTAATCAAGTCATGGGAGGTGTCCTCCTTTGGTGGTTACGATGTTGTGGTTCCTTGTGTAAAACCACCGTTGAGCTCTGCCCTCTCCCAGTCTCACTTAGCTCTTCCCAGTTTCTGCTTAGCTTAATATCTCTAATTCTTTCTTACTCTAACAGAACTCTGCTCCCCTATACTCGGGGCCTAGTGCCAAGGCTCAACTTCTGTTCTACCCTAATCTGGGCAGCAGCTACCTAGTTACAGAGCCTCAGAGAAGCCCTACTTCTCTGCTGTCTGTTGCCATTGAGTCGGTTTATGGAAGCAGACTGCCACATCTTTCTCCTTCAGAGTGGCTGGTGGGTGGGTTCAAACCACCGACCTTTTGGTTAGCCGTCAAGTGCTTAGCCACTGCACCACTAGACTTCCTTATAAGTCTTCTGTGCCATAACCATGGTTAATACTCCTTTGGGTGGTGTCCAGTTGACGGTTGAAGATGTGGAGTTGATGAGACTACTGGGAAATATTGGGTAAGTCACAGTAAATGAAGGTTTAATCCTAACTGACTCACTTAAATGCCTATCCTGCAATTCCTTCTCCAGTAGGTTACAGCACTTATGTTTTTGATATTCCACATCAAAACCGGAAAAGTGTGAATTCACTTGGGAGGAGTTTTAACTTGCTTCTGCTCTAGTCTCCAAATGAAAGGGCACAGAAAGCAGATACTTAACATATGAGCGTTTGGAAATTGAGACAAAATCTATAAAAAATGAAAAGTGTTTAGGGTTTTAAAGGATTGGAAAAAAAAAGAAAACACACTATAGAAAGAATGTTTAGTTTCAGATTTTGTTCTCCTAAACGAATGTCCTACTGATTGCAAAGAACATTGCCCAGCAACTTTTGCCTTTTGCCCTTGGCCTGCAGGGTTGAGTGAGATCTGAATACAAGGTCTGAGTGTCCACTTGTCATCTGTTTCGTCTGCATAGTTGCACTAGGGAAGCACAAGGGAGCCTCTGTGCCCTTTATGCACTGTGTTTGGTAAATGGACTTGTCCCACAACCTTCTAGTTTGTCTCCAGCCAAACCAAAAGTGCTGTGTTCTATCAGAATCTAAATATTACACTGAGTCCCTTCATGTCATCAGTGGCTGCCTGGGATCTAGGACAGCCTTTTACACTGATCAGTACAGTTAGGAACCAGACACTTGCCCTACAGGATAAAGCAAAGCCTGTGAGATGCAGGTGAGCGTGCTCCTAGGCTGTGCAGTTCAGGTACTGCTGGTCGCCGCCACTGTGACTCTACGCTGCATCCTTTCATGGATTCTAAACACATACAACAAAAAGAAGTTTTATGAAGTCGACTCGGGCACAAGCAATTAGTTTGCTCCCAGGAGGGTGGGCTCTGAGTGCCGAGGCCAGTTCTAGCTGAGGCTGTGCTGGGCCCTGTTGTGTGGATGTCCTTGTGGGACTCAAGTGGAGTGCCACTTCTTTTCTGTGCCTGGGCCGCCTCTTTTCAAGCATTCCAGGCCTTTGGAATTGTCCTGACCCGCTCACCCCAGCCTCATCCGGCAGGCTGACAATGGCAGCCCCCTCCTTCCGCTCCAGGCCAGGCAGCTCTGCCCTCAGCCTGGCCTTCTGTGGCCACCAGAGTCTGCTCACACCGAGGAGATCTCGTCCCTTGAGCCCCCTTGCTTCTGCTCCCTTAGTTTATTTTTTTCAAGGTTAAAAAATTGCCATGGACTTTCTCCAGCTTCTTTCCTGAATTTTCTGTCATTGTCCTAGTCCCTCCACTGGTTTAATTCTCTGTTCTCGAGCAAGTGACCTCACACTGGTACTCTTAGAAAAACAGTGCTTAAAAAACTGTAGTTGAGTATTTGGTTTACATTTTAATTTCTAGTTTCGTGGGAAGGCCCACCTAAAACATGGCCCAAACACCCACTCTACCAAACAGGGCGCCCAGCAGCTTGCTTGCACCGTTCATTCACTCAGTGGTCTCACTCAGCTTCCTTTCCCAGTAGAGGCAGGTGGCAGCTTGCAGAAGGTAGGTGCAGCTTCATGGAGTTTGCTGCTCTGGAACCACCTGCTCTGAGAGTACCACTGCAACGAGGAGGGAACATGGTAACGAAGAGGACAGAGATGTAAAGGAAGAGAAGGGACAGGCACAGGCCAGTATCCCTGGAAAGCCGATGTTACATAACTGAGGTACCTAGCATTGTGGCATGTTGATGGGAGCAAGAGCAGGAAGGTATTTTCTCCGGCTGACGTCCACCCAGGCTGTGCCCTAGTCATTGTATTAGGAGTTCCTCGGTGCAAATGGCTAGTGATGGAAAGGTTGGCGGTTTGAGTCCATCTAGAGTCATCTCAGAGGAAAGTCCTGGCAATGTGCCTCTGGAACGTCAGCCGTTGGAAACCCTGTGGGATACAGCTCTGCTCTGACACACATGGGGTCTCCATGAGTCGGAGTTGACAGAAACTGGAAAAAACCTCTGTGCTACCAGTGAGCACAAACCAAATGGGTGGTGGTCGTGGTTTCGCTTCTCTAAGTCGGCTCGGGGGAGGATGCTAGCCTTTCCTTGGATCAAAGTTGTAAGAAACAAAGCAAAACCCACCAAACATAACCTTTTAGAATCTATATAACATAGTGATTCCCCTTTCCCGCCCCCTGTTTTTGGCCCTTTTCTGTTTCAAAATGTTAGTTACTAAAAGTTAAAGTTTTGGAAGGAGTATGTGCTAGTCTATGAAAGAAAACAGTCCATTTGTGGGATCTCTGTTCTCCACCAGACTATACATACACAGTTGATGGGAAAAATTATTTAAATGTGTTGGTCATAAAACAGTGTTACATCATGGGTCTGGGCATATCTGTGCTTGGTTATAAAAATCAGCATGCCTGGTCTGATAAAGGGGCTTATGCTACTTTTGAGTTGAAATAACTGCTGGAATGCTGCCAGGTTCCTAGAGACAAGGGTCAGCGTATGGGAAACTGAGAAGATTCTGGCCAGGTGGATGCTGTTCACGGAGCCACTAGTTTTGCTTGGAGTGTCTGGGAGTAGTGCAGATGGTTAATGAGCGCGGCTGCTAACTGAAACACTGGTGGTTCAAGTCTACTCTGAAGTGTCTGGGAAGAATGGCCTGGCAATCTACGTCCTAAAAATCCCACTGAAAACTCCACGAAGCGCAGTTCTGCTCCGACACACACGGTCACTGGCTGTACAGCTTTAGTTTTGCTTACCAAAGGTATAGGTCCCCAGCTGGCTCGGTGACTGTGATGACAATGTGCCAATGCTATTTCCCGCTTCCGGCTTGCTTGCACAGTTCAGCTCTGGACTGACTTTAACATGTATTCAGAGCACCTGAGGAAAGTGACAAAGATGGTTTCTGGGCCTATGGCCCAGACTTTCTGATGCCCTTGGTGTGAAATGAGGCCTTCTCTGTCTTTGTAACTAGCTCTGCACATAGTCTGCAGCTCCCCCTTTGAGAGAGTTCGTTCAGCCTGATGCCACGTGGTGGAGTGTTGAGCTGCATTTTACTACGCTGTGAGAATCAAGTGAGATGGGTTGCCTTCCACTCCTGATCTTAGTCTCCAGTGTATCAAAGTGGCGACTGCTTCAGGTGTTCCCTACATTCTCCATCTGTCTAAAACCTGTGGCTTCATGGCGTTACACCCTCCCTAGCAGTTCTCCTTACTCTTCTATTAAGAATGTAACACAAAATAATTTCATTGAAAGATATAGCCCCAGGTAATGTGGGGAAGGTTTTACTCTATGTTTTAAATAGAAGATACCAAAGTAAATCCAGTAACTCCCTGTGCTGGAATCTTACGGGCAACCTCAACTGCCACTGTTGCGAGAGAAGGCAGGGGCCCAGGAACTTCAAGGCTGGTCGCTTGGTTCCCTTTGTAAACTATACCAGTGACAACTACCTTCTCAGGGCCAAATGGGGAAATGGTTCTACTCTTGAAGATGCAGCAGGTCTTCAGAGAACCCCTGGGAAGAAGCTACAAACTGAAAGCTAGGTGATGGGGTTGTGGGATGTACATTTGTTAATTCCCAGTGATTATCCACGTGTGCCATATATCTGTGTGCATGTGTGTAGTGGGCTCCCCAGGGTCCTTGATAGGTGGCCTGTCATCAAACCTCACATCAACCAACATTTCTTTTAACAGAATAGCTTGAAAAGGTACTTGCATTTGACTTTTGAATTCCATCTCCTTGTCTCCTTTCTGCCTCACCTGGCTTTCTCCAGAAGTTGCTAGGGAGTGGTGAAAGGATTAAGTCAGGCAGCAGGAGGAGAAAGGGAGAGGCAGACTTCTACAGAATTATAAACTGTCTGATCTACTCCCTAACCTTAACTTACCTCCCCGAAGCATGGCCGTGTTGAGCCCAAGGCCCCCACTTTAGACCATGGGGGTCTAAGTAGAGTTTGTTGAGTGAGGCCTGCTTGGAACAGCTCCATCATGGTCTGCCTGCCCACTGGGCCATCTCAGCTGCTTCTGGGAAGCATTTTGGGAAGCTCCAGGCCAGCTCAGTTGTGGTGCATTGCATAGGTTGAGTGACAAGGAAGGAGGCATGTTACGGGCAGAGTGAGCTCCAGCCATGTCAATAGGGACTGCTCCCTAGACACTCAGCAGAGCACAGAGAGTAAGAGTGGCAGTTTGTGGTTTTTTTTTTTTGAGCAGGGGCTGTTACAAGAAAGCGTACTAGCCCCTTGCTTGTTCACCCTTAACTTGCACAACAGCCATTTTATTTGGCTCCTGATACTAGCTAATGTCAGTCAGGCCCAGGCCTATCAAGGCAAATTATGGCTCCCAATGGACATTAGCAACTGGACTCTCCTGACCTTTCTTATGCCAGGGCTGCTACTTATTATAGAATCCAAGACTAGGGGGACCTGAACAAGAGGAGAAAGAGGACTGAAGTAGCCCAGTTTCTCTTGCTTTTAAGATTGAGCTGATTAGGAGGGAGGCAAGAAGGTAAGAGGACAACTCCAAAGGCCAAGTGGCTCTCTGGGAGCCAAGCACAAAGCCAGCACCTTTGGGACTGAGCCACTCTTTGGCCACTCGCATGTCAGAAAGCCGGCATGATGTCAAGGGTTCTAGGTGACCCAATGCACACAGGAGAGGGTCCCTGGCCTTGCCCTCACCACACCAGTCTGGCTTTGGAGAACCAAGGAGGGGACAGATCTCAGAGGATCACTGAGCAATCTGCATCTCTTGGGTGTGACTAGAAGCTGCTCCAAGGCCAAGGACTTTCACTTTTACCTGCATCGCTTGCTCCCTTCCTTGTGAACAGTGAAGGAAGACAGATCTCAAGTCGCAGAGTGGGCTGGAGAAGGGTAGCATGGCTATTTTCTAATCTCCTGGACCCTGTTGGGGACCAGGAGGCTGGTTCTGGCACCTACAATGTTTCTAGCACCAGGTGCTTGGTGACTTGAGACAGCCCTGAACCGCAAATGCTAATGGAGGCTATTCAGTGGAGGGGAAAGAGCATTGGAAAGGAATTCAAGACTCCTTTTCTCCAGCTCTGCAGTTAATAACTTATTTAGTTACTTAAGTTTGGGTTAAACTAAATGAAATCTGGTTTCTTTACTGCACAAATTCCAAGAGCCTCTGACATGTAGTGAGTGCCATGAATCTCTAAAAACAAATATAAAGTGTTTCCTAATTGTATGTGAGCACGAGACCTTTGTAAATAGTACCCTTCTAATGCCTTGCTGGACACAGTTTGCAAAATGGTGGACTAGAAGTTGGCTATCATGCGTTTTCTGATTCTGCGCCATTGGTCTGATTTTCTTGGGTTCCTCATAAGTCCTTGTGAAAGAAACATTTCTGCTGAGAAGTCGTGGAGACCAAACAGTGATACCACACAGAATGAGTGTAGGAACCCTAACCCAACTCCTTCCTTGGGAATTTCAGGCCATCTCTCTCTTCTTGGAACTAGTGAGGATTCCTCAAAGATCCCAGTGGTTAGCTCTCAACTTCCAAGTGATGACAACCCTCTGGAAGGGAGCTGCATTACAGGGGTTCCCCTCTGTTTCTGTTGCGTTCCAAAAGGCTCCACTCATCACCAAGAGTCTGGTCTCCTTCACTAGTCCTCCAGATCCCACTGGTGGCCAGGTGAGTGCGGGCCTTTGCCTGCACAGTCGAGGGGAGGACTGGAGGGCATGAAGGGAACAACCATGGGTAGGTGGTAAGTTTCCCTGACTGAGTTTTTCTTCTTTTATTTGTGAAACACTCAAAAGATTATTGCCTCAAAGATTGCTGAGGTCCATCTGCATTTGATGGAGGTGGGGGAGGGCCTAGAAGAAGCCTTTGCCCAAAGGCAAGCAAAACATGAACAAGAGGTATGAAAACTAGCCACAAATAGACATCTCACTTGGTTACTGGAGGCATTGAAGCAAGCATCTGGGTGGGCAGAGGGGTGTGAGGCCTGTCTTTAAGCCCCGTTTTGAAGAACGTGGAGGCTCTCAAAGGCCCACTCCTCAGGCTGACAACATTGGAATGTGGTAAGGGAAAATGAGAAAACATAGAGCTAATCAAATCTTGGGTCAAAGGCATTTAGAAAGTACATTCTTAGGCCCTCCATTCTGTTCCCACCGGGAGCCATGGCTGAGAAGGAAACGAGGCAGGAGTGGGGAGAGGGTAACGGCACATGCCCCCTCTGACCAGCCTGGATGGGGTTAGTCAGAGAACAGGCTGGCGAAGGACTTTCTCAGGTTGCGGATGGTTTCAGCCTTGGCCTCGTCTTCGCTTGGGGTCCCACGCTGAGACGTGTCAGATGTGCTGAGGCTGTTGGTCAGGGACTGGGATTTGCTGAAACAGAAAGGCAAGGGGGTTGGGGGAGACTGGCCTGGACTCCTTAGGAAATGAGTCTTGGGGGCTTGCCGGACAGCAAGATGGGTGAGCCTCATCATCATAATGACATCAAGACAAGAAACAGGCATTCTAACACTTAAATGATGCTAGGTACCTTGCATTATTTAATGGCTACAATAACCTTGGTTCTTACCTTTATTTCTTAGGTACAGAAACTGTGATTCACAGAGTCAAGCAACTTGCTCAAGTCTTCCATAGACTCATGGAGGTAGCATCCAAGGCTCACATTCTCTCCACAACACCGCACTGCTCAGGCAGCAGATGGTACTGACAATAGTTGGCCCACTCTCCTGCTTGTATGTACAAACCTGCTTGGTAACCTGCAGAGTGTTGTATCAACATCAGCTTATGGCTGCTCCTGTGGTAATTTCCAGGACTAGTTTGGGAATTAGGAAGTCTGTGTTTCAGACCCTGCTCTGCCATTTGATCTGTATGGTCTTGGGCAAGTTACTTCCCAGGGTCTCCACTACCTCATCTGTGAAATGTAGGGTTGGCCTAGCTGACCCTCAGGTCTCCTAGAGCTCTGATGTTCTGGGCTTTAATTCCCACCTCTTTCCTGAAGCCTTATTTGTTGATTCCAGTCTGTTTTTGGATTCTCATAGTATTCACCATTTGAACCACACTGTCCTGTTCTCTGGGAGCTCTGGTAGCATAGTGCCCAAGGCACTTGACTGTTAACCAGAAGGCTGGAAGTTCAAATCCACCAGCCACTCCTCGGAAGGAAGGTTGGGCAATCTACTTCCATAGTGATACTGCCTCAGCAACCCAAGGAGGGGTCGCTATGAATCGGATCCGACTTGACTGCACATAACAACAACAACAACAAATATTCTTGAGCATACAGCTTTTCACATTTGTATGATTGTATGGTTTTCTCTTTATGGTAATAAACTTTTGATAACTGTGAAGTTGCAGTCATTTTAAAAAGATAGGCCTTGACTGGTTGTATCTGGAATATCCCCATTCCAGGATGCCAGGGAATGGTAGACCAGAGGCTTTAATAGTCAGCCAAGCTCTGGACGGACTGATGGAAGATCTTTTATGAAAACCTAGGAGACTGAAGGGGGCTTAACCTACCTGGAAGCCAGTCCACTTCTCCTTGGAGTGGATTGAAGGGAAAACTATGGGCAGGGCAAGACCAACTGACTAGTTCATTCATTCATTTGTTCATTTTTCATTTATTCCATAACTCTATTCTGTACCAGCTAAGTACAAGGAATAAGACAGAAATAGTCCCTGCCCTCTGGGAGATAACTGCTATAACTGATGATACTGAGTTGACCCTGACTCATGGTGACACTGTATGTCAGAGTAGAACTTCACTCCACAGGATTTTCAATGACTGATTTCTCTGAATTAGATCACCAGGGTGATTCTTCCCAGGCACCTTTAGGTGGATTTGAATTTCTGACCTTTCGTTTAGCAGCCAAGCACATTAACCATTTGTATTTTATGAGCCAAGCTCATAGGAGTCTAGAACTTTATCCTAAAATGTGTGTGTGTGTGTGTGTGTGTGTGTGTGTGTTTAAATTTCAATAGCCTTATAATAATAGGTAAGGAGCTCTGGTGGCACAGTGGATAGGGCATTTGGCTGCTAACCAGAAGGTCAGC